GTTTAGTAAATTAACCCCAGAGTGTATCAGGATAGATGGCAGCCAACTGACGTCAAGATATAACCACTAGAACCTAAAATAAATAAATAAACTGCATCTTTTAATCTGCTGACTATACTCCTGCTTCAAACAAATCCCACTACAATAGCATCTAATGCACATCTCCCTTTGCAAATGAAGAAGACCGTTTAGGATGCAAGAAGAACATTTAGATGTCCAACCAAAATTAGTGCCACCTAGTCATGTGAATCAATACACAAAATGTCCCTGTTGGTGGATATCTCTTTTGATGCCATGCCTGTCTTCATACCAGAACAGAAGAGCAATTCAGGGGAGAATGAGAATGACTGAAACCCTTCCAGTAGACTTCACAAAGTTGGTCATACGAAGGGAAGGGAAGGGAAAAAGAGAAGCAGTAATGATAATTCCCTACTTGTTTTAACCACTTAATCTCTGAGAGGTTTTGTCCCCTTCATGACCAGACCATTTGTTGCTATTTAGCACTGCACTACTTTAACTGGTATTTGTGCGTCATGCAGTGCTGTACCCAAATTAAATTTATATAATTTTTCTCACACAAATAGTGATTTCTGTTGGAGGTATTTGGTCACCACTGAGTTTTTTTTTTATTTTAATTACATAACATGTTGATTAAAACCCCAATATTTTTTAGTTTGTGCTAAAAAACATTCTATAAAACATTTTATAAAACAAAATCTCTTCATAAATTTAGTTCAAAATGTATTCTGCTACATGTCTGTGATAAAAAAGAATTCCCAATAAGTGTATATTGATTGGTTTGTGTGAAAGTTATAGCGTCTACAAAATATGGTGTATATACTGGAATCTATCTTATCTATTTATTTTTATCTACTAGTAATGGCAGTGATCAGCGACCTTCACTATATTGCCAAAAGTATTGGGAAACCCCTCCAGATCATTGAATTCAGGTGTTCCAATCACCTCCATGACCACAGGTGTATAAAATCAAGCACTTAGGCATGCAGACTGCTTTTACAAACATTTGTGAAAGAATGGGTCGCTCTCAGGAACTCAGTGAATTCAAGTGTGGTACAATGATAGTTTGCCACCTGTGCAATAAGTCCATCTGTGAAATTTCCTTGCTACTAAATATTCCACAGTCAACTGTTAGTGGTATTATAACAAAGTGGAAGCAACTGGGAACAGCAACTCAGCCACAAAGTGGTAGGCTATGTGAAATGACAGAGCGGAGTCAGCGCACACTGAAGAGCACAGGGTGCAGAAGTCACCAACTGTCTGCAGAGTCAATAGCTAAAATATCTCCAAACTTTGGTGTCCGTTTATGACACAGAGAATAGCTGCGATTCAACGGATCTCAGCTATTCTCTGGTCATTCACAGTTTATGACACTCAGGAGATCATGTCAGCCCTTCACTGGAGATCTGTGTTCTCCCTCCAGATTCTCCAGCCCAGAGCTGGAGAATCGGAGGGACCGCAAACTAAGCAGAGATAATTTACCACTGCTTAGTAAACTGATCTTTTACTGTAATCTCGCAAGATTATAGTAAAATCAGCCGTTTTCCAGAGTTTGTAGACCGTTCTCCAGCATTTGGAGACCGTTCTCCTTTCGTTTGGAGAACTGCTTCATAAACTGCATTCACAGGAGAACTGTGTTCTCCGAGAATGCCAGAGAACTGAGCAGCGATCTATTACCGCTGGTTCATAAATGGACACCTTTGTGTGGTCTTCAGATTAGCACAACAGTGTGTAGAGAGCTTCATTGAATGGGTTTCCATGGCCAAGCAGCTGCATCCAAGCCTTACATCACCAAGTACAATGCAAAGCGTTGGATGCAGTGGTGTAAAGTATGCCACCCCTGGACTCTATAGCAGTGGAGTTGTGTTCTCTGGAGTGAAGAATCACACTTCTCTGTTGGCGTTTGCCCGGAGATCAGTACTTGCCTGACTGCATTGTGCCAAGTCTAATGTTTGATGGAGGGGGGATTATGGTGTGGGGTTGCACCTCATGGGTTGGGCCTGGCCCTTAGTTCCATTGAAGGAAACTCTTAAGGCATCCGCACACCAAGACATTTTAGACAATTTCATGCTCCCAACTTTGTGGGAACAGTTTGGGGATGGCCCCTTCCTGTTCCAATATCACTGCGCACCAGTGCACAAAGCAAGGTCCATAAAAACATGAATGAGCAAGCTTGGGGTAGAGGAACTGGACTGGCCTGCATGGAGTCCTGACATCAACCCAATACAACACCTTTGGGATGAATTAGAGCAAAGACTATGAGCCATGCCTTCTCATCTTCCATGAGTGCCTGACCTCACAAATGAACTTCTGAAAGAATGGTCAAACATTCCCATAGACACACTCCTAAACCTTGTGGACACCCTTCCCAGAAGAGTTTAAGCTGTTCTTGCTGCAAATGGTGGGCCAACTCAATATTAAACCCTACGGACTAAGACTGGGATGCCATTAAAGTTCATATGCTTGCAAAGGTGTGCGTCCGAATACTTTTGGAAATATAGTATATATTGGGACTGTGATAGTGCAGAGGGCAATCTAACACTAAATGGCACTGGGTGGGAACTGACACTGACATCACCAGTGAAACTAATACAGTGATCAGGGACAATACTTTACTCCATCATTGCACTAATGACACTTGTTGAAAAGGGATTAAGTGTGTGCATTACAAGTGTTAATGTGTGTATTATGTGTTGCTTTTTACTAAAAATCTATTAATTCCTTCTCTTTGTTTTGCAGGGAGAAGAAACAAAGAAAGTGTTCCCTCACACATCCCTTTGTTGTTTGTTAACACAGGGTTCTGGGCTGTGATTGGACTGAAGCTGATCAGCAGGTCCCAGCCATGATTCATTGGCTGTGACCTGCTGACAAAATTCCACTGTGTCCATTCACAGCAGGAGTCAGAGGGGGTGAGTGTGTACCCAGAACCTGGAATCAGGGAGCGATGTGCAGGTAAGTCACTGTGCCTATAGAAGCTGCCCATCTGCAGTACAATGCAGATGGGCAGATAGTCCTGAACTGCCAAGCTCATACTGCCAGATAAAACAGTCTCTGCAAAGATGGCTCTCTGCAAAGCTGAGAACATGATCCATCACTTCACATAGTAAAAGCACCATATAGTGTACACCAAGCACAGAGCTAGGCACACATTTACCCTTTTTTTTGCCCTAAATGTTAACCCCTTCCCAACCAGTGTCATTAGTACAGTGAGCAAGTCATATTTTTAGCACTGATCACTTTATTAGTATCACTGGTTCCCACAAGTGTCAGTGTAGTAGTATAAAAATATATATTTTTAAATTACAGTATATGTACCATAGTTTGTAGACGCTATAACTTTTGTAGACGCTATAACTAATCAATATACAATTATTGGAATTTGTTTTATAAAAAATATGTAGTAGAATACATTCTGGCCTAAATTTATGAAGAAATTAGATTTTTAACATTTGTTTTATTAGATATGTTTTATAGCAGAAAATCAAAAAATATTGTGTTTTTTTCAAAATTATTAGTCTTTTTTTGCTTATAGCGCAAAAGTAAAAACCGCTGAGGTGATCAAATCCCACCAAAAGGAAGCTCTATTTGTGGGAAAAGGGCATCAATTTCATTTGGGTACAGAATTGCATGATCGCGCAATTGTCAGTTAAAATAAATGTCATATCGCAAAAAATGGCCTGGTCAGGAAGGGGGGTGAATCTTCTGGAGGGCATATAGTTAATATGTATTTACACAAAGTCACTTGACAAACACCATTACTATTATAATAGTCAGATTGTAATATACATAGACACTATATTAAAAAGTAAGTTTTAAATTGTTGGTAACAACAGCATATATATTTATATATATATACATATAAATTCAGTGAATTAAATTCAGTAATTAATTTTTACCTGTAAACAACATACATGTGTGTGTGGCATCAACAATACATGTGTGTGAGAGTTCTTAAGACTCATAAACATAGACCAGAGGTTTTATTTAACTTTTTGTCCTGTTAATCAGTACAATACAAAGAAGACACTTTGTATCTTGCTATAGGATGTTGGCCTGTGTTTGCTAGGTTCAAGGTTTGTCAAACAGATACCATTTGGAGAACAAAAAGAAACTTTGGCTTTAATTAACTTATCCCTTATGTTTGCAGACCAAATTGCTCCAGCTGAGAAAAATAGAGTGTCTCTGAAGGAAAGTCTGCTTATTTGGAACCTGCTTTAGACAGTGGAAAATCAAAATGATAAAATGTACCTAATTTTTTTCATAAAAAGGTCTAGATACCACATAGAAGAGTTTTCTGTTAGAAAATAATATTTTAAGCAATAGCCAGCAAATCTGATTTCTTTTAATTAGAAGGTAAGCCAAAATGTAGATAAAGGAGTGGCTGTAGATATATTATACTTTGGTTTTGCAAAAGTGTTTGACACACTTCCCCACACATGGCCACTGTCTACTTTAACCACTTGCTGACCCACCACAGTAAATACCCTGGAGGGGGACAGCATGTGCAGGCACAATCACGTACCTGTACATCGTTGTGCCTGCTTGAGCTAAGCAGAGCTCTTTGCACCCACTGGGGCTCACAGCAATGTCAACAAAGCTATTATGAATTAATCTGATTCGTAATAGCTCTACTTCCTATACTAACGAGCTGTGATTGGCCCACAGCTATTACATGGTACCTGAACCAATCACAGAACCCTGTACCATGTGATTAGCTGAAGCCAGTCTGTCAGGGCTCCCAGGTATGACCAGAGGTGTGTGACTGACGCAGGGAAACGCAGACTTCAGATATGTGATAAACAATATAATTTATTAACACTAACAATACAAACATAAACGCAGTGCAATACTAAACATAATACAGTGCAACCAAACCAAACCCAACCAACCACCCACAGATAACAGTACATACAAGCAAGCGTCGTCAGGCAGGCCGGGTCAATATCAATAGGGCAGGTAGGTACAGGGGGAGCAAGCGGAGAATGGTCGGGGTCACAGGCCAGGTTCAGCAGGTAGCAAGCAGCACAGTACAGAGGGTTAGGCAGAGGGATGGTCACTGTCACAAGCCAGGGATCAGAACAGGTAGCAAGCAGCGTAGTACAGAGGGTCAGGCAGAGGGATGGTCAGGAGTGAGCCGGGATCAGAGCAGGAGAAGTCAGCAGCAGTTTAGATCAGGCAGGGTCAGCAAAGGAACAGAAACAGGATGCAGGACAGATACAGGGCCCAGGACAAACACAACACCAAGGCAGAGTCTGTGGGTCTGGCCATCCCTTAAATACCCCAGCATAATCAGTTCCAGGTGTTAGCTGGCTGCAAAGTTGAGTCTCTGATTGCTGGGAGCACCCGCTGGCCAGCCCTGGTACTGCAGATCAAAAGGCAGGTGAGTCCCACCATTGCTGGCCAGTCCATTCCTGACACAGTCACAGATCACTAGTAATCACAGATGTCATGAATGAAACTCATTTATAACAGGTCAGAGAATTGCTGGTTCAATGATCTTCATTGTATCAGCAATCAAAGTGTAAAAAAAACTCTGATCAACCCCCCCCCCCCCCCAACCACAGTGTAGTACAGTGTTACCATGGTGACACGGAACTACTCTGATGAAAGTAAAAAGTGAAGAGCCGTCAATTAGTTCTCCTGAAAGAACTTTATTAAAACAGGCTACAGTGTGCAAGTTACAGCAGCTGCAGGGGAAGCAACCTAGGTGTACATTTTCGTTGATGTACTCTGATGAAAGTAATTAAAAAAAATTAGTACACAAACAAAACAAAACAAAAAATTTTGAAAAATTAAATAAAAATTATTTTAAATAAATAATCACTGCTACACCAGTGATATGATGATGCTGTAGTGAGCTGGTGACAGTATGCAAAAAAAAATTATTTCATTTCTTCATTTTCCCAAAAATTTTACCAAAAATTAAAAAAACTCGCCATGCCTCTTACTAAATACCTCAGACTGTCCACTTTCCAAAAAGGGGCCATTTGGGGGGTATGTGTACTGGCCTGACATTTTAAGGGCCTCAAGAAATTATATTTGAATGGTGTAAACATTTCAAAGATGGGTTTACATCCGTCAGTGATGGTCCCACCTGTGGTGGTTCCCAGCCCACAGCAGTCATTCCTGCGAACACTGAGCTCATGGACCGCGGGATCCTGGATAATCGACTGGTGCAGATGAGTTGAAGTCTGCACTGCATTGAAGGAATGCTTTGACAGGAAAGGCCAGGTATTTCTGAATTTCATCATTACAGTACATGTGATGAAATCTGGGCACATCACTTCACTCTGGAGTCAAAATGAGCATCAAAGCAGTGGAAGCATGTGGACTTACCACCACAAAAAGTTTTTTCAAACAATTGCATCTGCAGAAAAAAGGGTTGGAAAGTGTTTTCTGGGACAAACGTGATGTTATTCATGTTGATTTTCTACACCATGGTGCCACTATCAACAGTGACTATTACTGTAGTGTTCTGAATGATGTGCATATGCGTCTGAGGAAAAAATGGACTGGTTTGATCTCTAAGGGCGTCCTGTTTCTCCAGGACAATGCATGAGCTCATGCTGCTCACCACACGAAGTGTAGATTACAGCAACTCAGCTGAGAGGTATTGCCAAATCCCCCCTAACAGCCTGGACCTCACTCCTAGGGATTTCCACCTGTTTCGACCCTCTAAAAGAGTTCCTTGAAAGTCAGCATTTCAGCACTGATGATAAAGTGAAGCAGGCTGTCCTAGGATGGTTTTGGAGTACTGACAAATATTTCTGAGTTGAAGCTTTCTAGGCATTAGTTAAACGCTGGAAAAAGTGTATAAATGTAGCAGGGGAGTATGTAAAAAAAATAAAAGCAGTTTCCACTCCTTTAAATTTGTTCTTTTAGTATACTATATGAACTCAAAAGTCCTGGTTTGAACTCTCCTTGTATACATATCATAGATTGTATACACTATAACTTTCAAACAAACCAATTAATATATACTCTTTGAGATTTTTTCGTGGGGAATCAAATACCCCAAAATACCACCAAAATCTAGCTTTATTTGTCTGAAAACAAATGATATAAATTGAATTTGCATACAGTGTTGCATGACTGAGCAATTGCCAGTTAAAGTAGCACAGTGCTGAATAGCAAAAAAATGGCCTGGTCATGAAGAAGGTAAAATCTTCCACAGCTTAAGTGAATAAAGTCTACGGGCTTTAAAAATTCAAATTGTAAATGGATAGAAAATTGGCTAAAAGACTGTATTATTAGTGATGTACCCCAACAGTAGCTGTTTCAGGGAATATCTGATTGCCTCAGAAGATCCCCCCCCCATTGAAATAAATTGGATCATTCTTTATTGGGGCTTTTTGCCTTCCTCTGGATTAATTTTGGGTATAGGATTGTGTAAATGAAGGTTTTATATTATTATTTTTTTCTATTGCTTGAACTAGACATACTTGTGTTTTTTTACTGGAGAGTACAAAATCTAGTGTAGCTGTGTATGGTAACCGAGCGGCTTCTAACCTCAGCTTGTTTGGTTAAGCAATTGTATCAAAGCAATACAACTAGATCAAAGATCTGAGTGGATAGTGAAGTAACAGCAGCTCATTAATGAGTTCAAACTTGTGCTTTTTTGTCCCATCACTAAGGACCATTTTAGATTAACAGTAGTGCTCAATGCAGTAAAGCATGATTGGCTTACAGTTCTTTCCCTCTCTAAAGGCTGGTATGCAGGGGATCACTGGATGATAATTCCAAGACAGAGAAGTGTACTAAAAAAATATTGACATAGTTTTCATTAATACATAACTGGAGAAAATGTGGCTTTTTTACATCTTACAAAAATATGTTGGGAAAAATTACATTAGTATTTGAATATTTTTATGTTTCTTTTGGTATTTGAAGTGTCTTGCGAGCCAGAAAGCAGAAAAAAAACTCCTTATTAAAAAACACTTTGAAGTTGGATCGCAACCTCTAGCACATAACTACCAATGTGGCAAAAAAACGCAAAAAATCATATAGTGTTGCGCTCCTAAACCTCCAATTATTATATAATTATATAAATAACTTAATCTCTATTCTAAAAATCATATGATAGGAGAAATGTGTATAAAAAAAATCTCAATAATTAAAAATGATGTCTGTGATTAATCATAAATTATAAATGCTGACAATCTTATGCTTTATATCAATTCACATTAACCTTGTGCATAAATGAATAAAAACAATTAAAAATGAAACAATTGTGAAAAAAATGTCTATCCCATATAATAAAAGTGACTTTGTGCTGAAAAATCTCAATCTATATTGATTATATATCCGTGACTGCTCGTGAATCCTCCCAAAAGTGAAGATGTACGCTCACCTCATTGGAAGCCTGCAATTAGGCTATATAAGCATTCGGTTCTCCTCCCTTGGAACCTACTTGTTAGGAACTCTTGCTTTGAGATAGTAGATATCCGTAATAAACGATATGTGCTATGGATCACTTCTCCAGAGGATGCAACCCTTTGGGGTGGGACTGTAACGTCACTCGGAGGGAGTCAGTTCGTTTGCCGGACCACGGTTTGCACAGCTCCGACAGTCAGCTGGGAGTTTTGGATCGTACTCGAGTTACCACTTTCTGAATACAATATATGTGAGTGCCATATTCTGAGCAAATAAAGCCGATCTTTATAAAAGATAAAGCACCATGTCGAGATCTTTTTTATATGTGGAGAACCGCATGGAGATGAGAATATAGAGGATGCATCCTCTGGAGAAGTGATCCATAGCACATACAGTTGTGACCAAAATTATTCAACCCCCACTGAAATTGAGTGTTTTGGCCAGTTTGACATTGCTTTTGATCATTCAGTCATCTTGCTTACATTTACATTAAAGAGGCACTTGTAGGTCAGACAAATATAACATAACAGTTATAATGAAATAACCACAAATGTCTTTTCTGTGCTCACAGCATTATCAGTTTTATTCAACCCCCAAGTGACATTCAATCTTAGTACTTAGTACAGCATCCTTTTACAGTTATAACAGCTTTTAAACGTGAAGCATAGCTTGGACACAAGTGTCTTGCAGCGATCTACGGGTATCTTCGCCCATTCTTCATGGGCAAAGGCCTCCAGTTCAGTCACATTTAGGCTTGCGCACTGCAACTGGCATCTCGATTTAAGTCCCCCATCCAGGTCACGGTTCTCAATCAGATTTAATCTGGTGACTGCGATGGCCACTCCAAAATGTTCCAGCCTTTCCTCTGCAACCATGCTCTAGTGGACTTGGAGGTATGCTTGGGATCATTGTCCTGTTTGGTCCAATCGTCTCCCAAGCCTCAGGTGTGTGACGGACTGCATCAACGTTTCCATCCAATATCTCTCTGGTACTGAAGAGAATTCATGGTACTTGCACACGCTGAAGCTTCCCTGTACCTGCAGAAGCAAAACAGCCCCCAAAGCATGATTGACCCCTCCACCATGCTTCACAGTAGGCAAGGTGGTGTTCTTTTCATCATAGGCCTGTTCTTCCTCCTCCAAACATAGCGTTTGATCCATGGGCCCAAACAGTTCTAATTTTGTTTCATCAGTCAAGAACAACTATCCCACAACTTTTGTGGTTTGTCCACATGGCTTTTGGCATACTGCAGTCGACTCTTCTTATTCTTTGGAGACAGCAAGGGGTACGCCTGGGAGTTCTGGCACGGAGGCCTTCATTACGCAGTGTGCGTTTATTGTCTGGGCTGAAAACTTCTGTACCCACATCTGAACAAATCTTTCTCAGTTCCTCAAGTCACACGGGGACTTCTCTCCATCTACGCTTCAGGTAGCGCACAGCGTAAGATCAGCAGCCACGACAGGTTGCGTTTCAACAGTGAATTTGGAATGATGCTTCCTAAGGTGTCTCTTGGTATGTTTACAATCTTCTTTAGCCATTGCCCTTCCTGTGAAGAGGTTCATTTCTTTGCCTTCACCATGTTTGTAACCACACCAGTAATGTCTAGAAGGAGCTGAGTATCACAGTCATTTTAAAGCTGCCTAATTGGTGCTTATTATGCTTGATTGACATCCACAGGTTTTTCAATACCTGATGGAAAGCACATGAACCTCTGTTCTTCAGAGTGGTAGTTCTTTAAGGGGTTGAATAATTGTGGCAATGAAGAAAAACCACATAAGACCATTTACTACTGTTTACATAAACAATTGATTCATTTTATTTTAGTTACAACGTTGTAGGATTTTGATTCTGAATACAATTCCAAATGTACACTATAGTCCCTAAACCCCTTTACAAGCATTGGGGGTTGAATAATTTTGGTCACAAACTGATCATTTATTACGGATATCTACTATCTCAAAGCAAGAGTTCCTAACAAGTAGGTTCCAAGGGAGGAGAACCGAATGCTTATTAGCCTAATTGCAGGCTTCCAATGAGGTGAGCGTACATCTTCACGTTTGGGAGGATTCAAAGCAGTCACGGATATATATCAATATAGATTGAAGATTTTTCAGCACAAAGTCACTTTTTATTATATGGGACAAT